ATCCTCAATTTCGGAACGAATTCAGGAACTATTTCCGAATTATTTTTTTCCGTGTATATTGTTGAATTCCATATGTTTATCTTTTCCCCTACCTACTTATCTATACCACCCAGTGGGAAATTTCCAACCGGCGTGGATCCTCGCCTGTACCGACGCCGGAGTAGTGGTACTGGCTAGGAACCGCCTGCCTACCGCCCGAGAACTGGTATTCTACCAAAAGATGACTTGGCCAGGAGCTGGCTGGCCATCCGTCTCGGAACTGGCATTCTACCGCCCGCTGACCGGCCGGGAGAAGCCGTTCCGTGTATAATTCAACCGGCTGGGACCCGGCACTGTACCGACTGCGGATCTTTCATTTCCTAGTCAGATGTGCGCTGGCAATGCTGGCATTCTACCGCCTGACAACCGGCTCGGATAAAAATGATAATTTCAACAAATATCAATAAAAAATAATAATTAATTGCAAAAGATAAATACGGATGACAATTCATTGACAGTTCACTTTACACATTTTTTTATTTCTTTATACACTTAAACGCAATTTTTTATTACATACACATTTGAAAAATCCTAACGCTTGGGGGTACGAACCTACGCCTAACCGAATATTTACGCACCGAAATCTCGCACGCTAACCACTATGCTACGCTCGCATGGAACTCTCAAACCTTAAATGCTTTCAAGTCTCACTAGCTGAAATAAAAATTGTAAAATTACTACGCGGCAATAGGCAATTTGGAAATACGAACTGATGTAATACCGGTATATTTTCAATACTTTACTGAATGTGTATTTATGAATATTTCAATATTTCGTTTAAAAAAATGTTAAAAAAAAATGTTATATTTTTATTATTATGTTTTTTAATATTTTATTACATAATATATCGAATAATATGAACATAACTTCACTGCAAAACAATTTATAACATATAAGTAATAGTATTAAATTGAATAAAATTTTAATGCACAACACATTTTTTTAATTATTTAATTTGCAGAAAAGTGTCAATAAATAATTACTTAATATATTGTTTAAATTAAAAAGAGATTATTAATTAATTAATAATAAATTAATTTATAATAATCTCTTTTTTATATATTGTATTTAAAATGTTATTTATTGTAGGCATTATAATATATTGATCACATTTTCTTTCAAGTTAAATATATTTTACTTCTTTCAAATTAATATATTATTTATTAAAAATTATTTATTTAATTGCACATTAATAAAGTTGGATTTTTATATATATAATGAAAAAATTAAGTTTCTTATATTCTTCCTTTGCATGAATACTATTAATTTATTGATTGGTTAACTAATAATAATATTATAATAAATGCAATTAGTTATTGTAATAATTAATTATAATAATAAAATAAATTTATGATTATACTGATAATGTAAACTATAACAATAAATGACGAGATCCGCAGTCGGATCCGCCCCAGCACCGAGCCAGTACAGACCTAACATCCGTCATTCTTCCGACGCGCGTAGAAGAATGAAATCTGCAGGCGGAACAAATCCAGTACCGCGCCAGTACTGACGAAAGTAGAAAGGCGGATCCAAAAGTCGGAGCCTAATCTGTTCCGCGCCGGTTGCATTTTAGGATCCGAATCGGTACAGACCATCGGTGCTGGCGGTCCGTACGGGCGCGGATCCCAGGCGGTTGTATAATCCGACATTCGTCCGACTTTTCCTCCTGGGCATATGTATTTAAATTCTATATACCTAACTGAGAAAAATCTCTTAACCCCGAGAATTGAACACTCGACCTTAACATTCGTAAACCGATAAGCTAACCGTGCACGCACGCTACGATGACTTGCTTAATACTTAAGGACATTCCCGACACAGTTCAACTGATAACAGAACTATATTAATAATAATTAAACATAATTTTCTAATTATTTGTGTATGGCAAATTATTCAAACATATTAATAAACTGTAATCAAAATTTTAACTTCAATGTCAACTATACTTATTGGTACTTATTAAAATCTTATTATACTAAATTATTATTTGTAAAAATATTAAATTATGTAATAAGTGAAGTTATTTAATTTAATAATTTAAAATTTATTATATTTTAATTTACTATGTCCAACCTAACAATATTTTTCGCATCTTTGATTCAATAATTGTAAGTCTAAGTAATACTGAAAAATTAAAACTTGTCTGCAATTATGCGTTGTTAGCTCATTACAATAGATAGAACGTTAGTCTATAAATATGTACACTGGAAAAATTTAAAGCGCTCTGCTGACTTCAATGCGAGACAGTCAGCGCGCTCTGTCATAAGGGATGGCAGTTACCCAGGCGGAAAAGTCGGACGAATGTCGGAATTTACAACCGGATCTGAAAAAGCAACCGGCGCGGTACAGATTATGCTCCGACTGTCGGATCCGTCTTCCCACTATTGTCAGTACTGGCTCGGTACTGGATTTCTTCCGCCGGCGGATCTTATTCTTCTGCGGCGTCGGAAGAATGACGGATATGTTAAGTCTGTACTGGCTCGGTGCTGGGCCGGATCCGACTGCGGATGTCGTCATTTATTGTCACATTATAAATCACATTATAAATTTATTTTCAATAAATGTGTCATAACTAAATAATTATTACAATAATTAATTGCATTATTTTAGAAAATAATGATTAATTAATAAATGAATTTAATCAAAATATTAAGTAATTATTTATTAAGAGTTTTTTCAAAATTAAACAATTAAAAAAATTTGTTGTGCACTTATACTGTATAATTATTATAAATAAATTTATACTATTAATATAAATTTATTATTATTGAGATATTATTAAATCATAATATTGAGAATTAATAATAAATTATTAATATTAATAAATATTAATATTCATGTTAATAATTTATTATTAATTCTCAATAATATTAATGTTAATTAATAATATCTCAATGATAATAAATTTATTATTATTGTGATATTAATTAAAATTATTAATATTATTATGTTTAAAATTATTATATTGAGATACAATTATTTAATATATTATATAATAATAAAAATATAGCTGTAGCATTGACGCGTAGTTATTCGACAAGTTTCATTTCAGCTTGTGACACTTGAGAGTATTTAAGATTTGAGAGTCCCATGCGAGCGTAGCATAGTGGTTAGCGTGCGAGATTTCAGTGCGTAAATATTCGGTTAGGCGTAGGTTCGTACCTCCAAGCGTTAGGATTTTTCAAATGTGTATGTAATAAAAAATTACGTTTAAGTGTATAAAAAAATTAAAAAAATGTGTAAAGTGAACTGTCAATGAATTGTCATCAGTATTTATCTTTTTCAATTAATTATTATTTTTTGTATTGATATTTGTTGAAATTATCATTTGTATCCGATCCGGTTGTCAGTCGGTAGAATGCCAGCGCTCGACTGGCTATTAAATGAAAAATCCACGGTCGGTAGAGTGCCAGGTCCCAGCCGGTTGAATTATACACGGAACGGCTTCTCCCGGACGGTCAGCGGGCGGTAGAATGCCAGTTCCGAGTCGGTTGCCAGCGCGCTCCTGGCCTAGTCACTATTCGGTAGAATGCCCGTTCACATTCGGTTGGCAGGCGGTTCCCAGCCAGTACAGTTACACCGGCGTCAGCGAGAATCTCTCTTTTTCGGGAGCAGCAGTTACCCCTGAAAGAGTAACCGCTCGCTTTTTGCGGTTAACTGCGTTCCTTTCTGATAGAGTGTACTGCTGTCCTGCAAAAAAGAAAGCATCTATCTCTACAAAGGCAGCAGCGTGCTTTTAATTTTTTCAGTAAAACTTGAAAATCTAATACATACACTTACTGTAATTGCCTATATTATTTAATTTTTAAATTATATAGACAATTCTTTTACTTTGTTTACTATATCCATTGTTTGCAGTCGTCATCTTTAATACAATTTAAATAAAAGGAGGAATATTTATTTGAAAGAAAACTATTTATTCATATTATTTAATCTTTTGTTGATAAATTATTTATAATTATTAATTAACAACTATAAACAGTGTACCCAAAAACAATGGAATGACTGAATCTGGTTCCAACTGGGATTTCCTGACATAGGTCATTAACTGGTTTCAGCGTTACAAGCCCGGTTTGGGCGTTGACATAAAATTTTAACTACATAAAATAGTTCAAATAAGTATGCAAAGATGGTCAGACTTGTTAAAATATTAAATTAAAATATTAAATATATTCCAAAAGAAAAATAAGGAGAGAAGGGGGAATAGCAGTAGTAGTAGAGGCGACTAGAAGCCTAGGTATAATAAACCGTTTATGACACTCTATTGTTGTTCCGTGCCCTTTTATACTAATATTGTAAATAATTATCTTTCTTCGAATATTTCCGTTAAGTGTTTTCGTTCAACGTTCTTTCTGTACGGTCGTGTTTAAATACAAATCTAATAAAAAGTGATCTTGTTTTTTGTGTTAACTTCCCATTGCTTTTTCCTTTAACTTTTTAATATCAAAAAGACTAACTAAACAAGTAGTTATTTCTATTACTTTTTACTCTATTAAAGGGGGACGTAGTTAAAAATGTATCATGAATTGTTTTAAGTGAATTTGAGGCTTGCAGATATTTTGCGTCAATCTTTAAAAAATTGCACGGTAACATAATGATCGTACGGGGTACCATCTCAAAGCTAAAAATACGGAGAGCTATGTATTATATTAGTTTCAATCCAGTACAGTTGTACTGAAATTGATGGTACCCAGTAGCATAAAATGGTACTAGATAACATCTACTTTTAACATTAAAATTTTTACCTCTCATTTCTCTCAGTGTACGAATATATTCCCGAGTAATGCAGTTATTACTAAAATACTATGCTCAGTCAGTATATTATCTTTTACATTTAAAATATTCATTTTTAATTAGGCATTACATTAAAATATTATGCCTTGTATTATATTTCATCACTAAACTTTCAGCTTTACGATTAAATTTCCTATCGTCAATTCCCTTTTTTTAAATTTCAGGTAATGTGTGTTCAATATTGGCCGCCAAATAAAGAAAAAGATGAGGAATATGGTGGAATCGGTGTTTCGGTATTAAAAGTCGAGGAATTGGCTAATTTTCACATAAGAACAATAAGGCTTTACAAAAAGGATGAAAATGGAGTAAGTACATTGTTCGCGTGTAAAAAATATTATTCTAATAGTAACATTTTTTATTTTTAGCATTTAATACTCTATATATATAGTGGAATAAGAATGAATTAATTCGGAATGCAAAGTAAATAGCATTTAAAAAGTTGAAACGCTCGTTGAAACTATTCCCAAGGGAAATCTTGAGCCAAATACTAGCACAAGTCTATTGAACATTGTTTACATATTTTATTAGGAAGTAAATTCAATTTTGTTGTTTCAGAAATACGCGCTCTATCGGAGTGTAGAGACACTTGTAATGAAATAAAAAAATAAAATTTTAATAATTAAAATAGCAGAGAGAAAATATTTATTTTCTATTTTTGTTATTTGGAAATTTTGTTTCTTTTCTTTATACCAAAGAATCATTTTATTTTTTATTTTTCTACAGCTTGGGAAATATAAAGACACAAGTTTTATTTTCAAAGGAAAGAGGAGCTCGATTTGAAACATAAATAATAAAAAAGAGAATATCATTGATCAAAAGCTTGCTTTTTACTATTCTTTCCATTTCCGTTCGAATTATTTACGAAAAAAGTTGTGCCAAGAAGAATATGGCTTTAGAATATTTCCCACAACTGATTTTTCTTTGAATAAAAAATATGTATGAATTGCGAATTTGGGTTTGCATTGAAAAAATGTAAATATACATATTTTTCGTTATAATAAAAGTTGAATCAAAATTTTATGAAGAAAAATTACAAAATAAAGAAAATGAAATTTCCTAAAGAATGTTTAAGCAAAACAAAGTTTATTTAAATTTAAAAAGAGATAAGGAGATAAATTTTAACCTACACGAATAAAGGAGCAAAATAGATGCTGAGAATTTTCGAGATTCGAAAAAATTTGTTCTTGACTGATGTCTTAAAGCTTGTGCGCGCGAGAGTAAATCAAGATCTCTGAAACTGGCAAGTCTTTAAACAACTTCTTTGCGACCTTGCTACCTTTTTTCGATTTAAACTTCCTGAATAGAGTTGAGAGTTGAATGTAACAGGCAGAAACTAAAAAGCTGAATACATACTCTCTTTTACAGGGGAAAAATTTCTTTTTAAAAATTTTAAGTTTCTAGTTCAAGTATTGCGTGCCCTTCCTTGTACCTAAATCATTAAGCCATGGTTATATGTTTAATACTAAAATAATAATAACAAAAATAAACCAAATGGTGACCATACTGAAAACTTTGGTGTAAAGTCAAAAACTCTCACAAACTCATATAAGAAAGAGCATCTCCCGCGAGATATCGTCCCAAACAACTTTAAAACTTTCCGCACTGAGTTTTGTCTTGAAAGTTGTAGAAGAATTATTTATACAAGTATGCAAGTCTAACTGCAGCTGTTTTGTAACTTGTATAACTTTCAGATTGCAAAATAATAACGCTGTTGATTTAACTAGTTAAAACATTGTACAAGTTTCGGGAATGAAAGTCGTCAATTCAATCCTATTTTGATCATCCGCAGTCGGATGTATTCCTTCGAGATACGAATCACAGAGAGAAGAAGTTTGTTGATTTTTCTCTCTTCTAAAGGTTAAAAACTTTCCTTTTCATTTTTGACATGAGACAAATTTACTTTTGTTTTCTTTATATAATTTTGCGCTAAAACATAATGGACTTTTGGATTTATAAGAAAACTTTTCATCTAAACTTAATTAATTTAATGCAATTAATGCTTTTGAATTCGTAAATGGAATTTGGAGAATAGAAATATTTTTAAAGTTTAAAGTGTATTTAAAAGTTGTAATACTGTTAAGGGCATCCGGGAAAAGTTCCCCCTCCAAAAAGTGGTTTCCCGTGTCTTCTCATTCCTAAATGAGAAGTAGGGTTGCCACCTCATCGCGGCTCTCGGCCCGGAGAATTTTTCTTGACTATAAGGTGTAAATGCTCCCTAAAGCTTCTACCATACAATAAAGAATATGGAGAATAGTTACTAATTCAGTCATGATGTGTTATTGTTTCAATACTTAAAATTAAAAGTTTTTTTTTAAATAACCGAAGACCGGAAGAATTTACTTGCGGCCCGGAGACCCGGAGATCTACTTCGCAGCCCGGAGTCTCCGGGCGAGGCCCGAAGAGGTGGCAACTCTAATGAGAAGAGATATCGAACTGGCATTTTTTGAGCTAATTATAGAGGAGAGCGTATTGATAAAAAATCTTCTATATATTTACAAGTAATTCTTGAAAATAACATTGAAAAAAAATGATAAGCACTATATGGCGGCGAGCACACACAATTGAATTCAGTTTTAGAGAGCAGATGTAATCCATATCTTTGTAAACATTTTCCAACAAAATAGGTGGAAGAAGAAGTTAACAATCTCTCCGAATCAATTTTTTAGAAGATTCTTTTAATTTCATGTATCAGCAGTACAACTGTTCTAATTTTTTTATTTTTCATTAATTTAATTTTTCAGTTTTTCTGAGTTCTTTGATAATTTAGAAATATTTCTTATTATATTAAGTTAGAGAACGACCGACCGACCGACTCACACCTCTTTCTATTCTGTCTAACATCTATTAGAATACTTCACTCATACACATGTCCAAAAACATATACCCATGTATGTTACACATATACACTAAACACATACATGTCATGTCACGCATGCGCAGTAGTGTTCTATCAATGTCAGGAATGCGCAGTAGTGTTCTATGAATATCAGACATGCACAGTAGTGTTCTATCAATGTTACGCATGCGCAGTAGTGTTCTATGAATATCAAGCATGCGCGCAAATCACCCACACATGTATACTCACACATATACACTAATCACATGTACATGTATACTCACACATGTACATAAATTACATACACATGTATACTGACTCATATGCAGATATAAACTCCTACATATACACAAATCACATATATAGATTTAATAAACGATTGATAATATAAATTGTTGAATTTTTTAAGGTTCGTTGATGCACGTAGTGTCTGCTGAATTTTTTTTTAATATACGTAAATACCTCACTTGCTAATGCTGTCTGTGTTTTAAGGGAACTTATTTATTTACTTGTGTATTTACTTATTTATTTGTTTGACAGAAATTACCAATAAATTTTTAAATGGATAATCAATGAAAAATGAATGATATTTCTGTAAGTGTAATTTTCAACTGATTTTCAGTAAAATTATTTGTTTGACAGAAATTTACAATAATAAATAAAACACAATAAAATGACGATCAGTAATTCATCATTCAGTAAAATTCCACTGATTATGAATCCAAAGTCACTTTTTAAAAATACAAAATGGCGAATCCAGGATAGCGGACGAAAATGAAAGATTTAGTAAGAGAATACGTAAAAATAACATTTCGTATAATGTACAATGACAATTTTTTAAAATGTCACTTCATAATTTTTGTCTTATTATACAATGATTTTAAATAAAATAATTTATATTTTTATAAATATTAATAATTTTTAACATTTTCTAACCAATATAAGGTTTTAATTTTGTAAATGTTCAAACTCTGGTTTAGAAAGAAAAATTTATATTATTATACAACTATATTGTCTAGACTTGCAAAAACCCAAAGTCTAGACAAATTTGTCGTAACAATATTGTTACAATATATATTGTAACAATATTGGTGACGGTGACGTGCGTTACGAGATAAAAATTCCTGAAAAAAAGTGTTGAAATTATTTGATTGGGGAGCGTACACAAAGGATGTCACGCAATTTTTCGGGATTTTATACCCCCCTCCCCCCTGTCACGCAATTTCACATGTAAAAATACATTGTGTTACGTTTAGTAGAGACCCTTCACCTTCCCCCAAAAAACGTGACATCATTTATGAACGCTCCCTTGCAAATATCTTGCAAAATATTAAAAATTTTGTAAAACTTTTTGGCACACTTATTTAGGACCCTAAACACTATCAAATTACAAAGTACCCAAGTAGCACGGAATATAACCTTAAATTGAAGGAAATATTGCATTTCATATTCGGAATATTCCATAGTGGAATGTTCCAGAGATCTTAAAGTAATATTAAAATGTCCGCCGCACAGGAATATTCCAAGATAACATTTAGGGAATGTTCCACGGTAATATCGAAGTAATATTCCAGGATGATGTTGAAGGAATGTTCCACCGTAATATTAATGGAATATTCCAGGGTGATGTTGAGAGAATGTTCCCAGATAATATTAAATATGTTGAAAATGCCATTGAATTCGTTTTTACTAAAGAAAGAAGATAAAGAGAAAAAAAGTCAAATTTTTTCAAAGTATGAAATTTTGGAATATTTCCAGGGAATATTCTGAGAATATTCCCTTAATATTCATTCAACATTACCTTGGAATATTCCATTAATATTACGGTGGAACATTGCCTCAACATCATCCTGGAATATTACTTCGAAATCACCGTGGAACATTCCCTCAATGTTATTTTGGAATATTCCTGTGGGGCGGACATTTTAATATTACTTTAAGATACCTGGAACATTCTACTAGAATATTCCGAATATGAAATGTAATATTCCCTTCATTTTAAGGTTATATTCCGTGCTGCTTGGGTATAAGCAAAACTAAAATTTCGTCGGTGCATAGAGCCATGGAACGCCCCATTTTGGACAAGTTAAAACCAGGGTTGCATACGTAATTTACCTGACGTAAATTACATAGTTTTTTACAGTATATTACGTCAGTAATTTACGTGCTCAGTTTTATACGTAATTTACTTTTTCAAACTGGCTGAATTGTTGACATGATTGCCGTTGACTATTTCTTGATTCTGTGGCCCAACAAGTTGCATTTAAAAAATGTTTAAAGGTGCAAGGCTGCGTCAAAACTTTTAGAATGAACTATCATTTATATCACAAAAGAAAAATGGGAAAAGTGTGGATTTTTATCAAGGATGCAAACAAACCTTTTCTCTCATACATCCGAAGAGAGGTTAAGAACCTACAGGTAAATTTGAATGAAGATTATATGTTGTTATAAAAATAAATGTATTTTGAATATACAAATTATGACTGAGTTATTTATTTATTACTTATTTATCTAAATTTTTGTACAAGTGGTACAAATAGAATTCGTAAACATAACCTATACAATATACTGTCCCGTCATAAACCTGTCAAAATCATCTTCATCATGCGCTTTTAAACATTTAAAGAATCATGAATTATAAAATAATAATTCATATTTTTAAAACAAGCATTTCAAAATAGCCTTTTCTTTTTCTGTTTTTTGACGTTCAAACCCTAATTCTTTCCAGGGAATCTGTTGTCCTTTTTGGTTTGGTCGATTCATTGTATATAATTTATATTTAATAATCTAACGAATTTATTATGCATGACATTGACGACGCACGTGTAATTTTCAAATATTATGCTTTTAGCGCTTCTTCAATTGTCCGACATCTTTTTTTACATTTATTACAGGTTTCTTACGTATATTACATTTTTTACGTAATATACGTAAAAAACTTCGAGTTGCGCGCAACCGTGCAACCCTGGTTAATACCTACGATATTGGCTGGTTTTAATAAAAAATTTAGGGGAAAATGGGTCAAAAGTACTAAAAGATGGGCAAATATTATTTTTGAAATATCATTTTTATTTTTTGTGTATAACAATTTGTGTTTAAAGATTTTCAATGCGATAAGAGCAATTGTTTAAAAGATAAAAAAACACAAACTGTTAAAGGCAAAAAAGGAGATATTTAAAAAAATCCTTTTTTCCCCACTTAATTCACATCAATATCAAACATCGGAAAAAAACCTCGATACATCGAAAATATCGAAACTAAAACATTGAGGTTATAAACATCGATGTTTCCGATGTCGATGTCTCATCATTACAGAAAATCCTGTTAGTAAGAAAAGAATAGACGTATCTTCATCCTTTTCTTACTAATTATCCAGAGAATCAGGCTAACATTCAAAACCTAACCTTCTAAGTTTAACCCACCATTTTTCTCCGTGTACAAATAAATATTTAGTTATTTCAAAAAAATTATTTTATTGATGCAAATAAATATTTATTTTAATTGAAAACTATATGCATTATTGAATCAAGTAATTTTCATAATTGATTTAAAGCAATACTTATTAGATCAAATTATTCCATTTAATTGACTTAAGTAATTTGTATTTGGTACAAATAACTATTTATTTGATACCATAAATTAAAATATTTATGTCCAGTAAATATTTACTTAGTTCAAATAAATAAAAATAAATGAGTAAAAACAAATAAGTAAAAACAAATAAGTTTAAATACAACCGAACGAGCGTTAGCGAGTGAGGTATACACGGAAAAAATAAATTCTGTAAGAATTCCTGAATTTGTTCCATAATTGAGGATTTGTGCAAAGTTCCAGAAATTTTTAGAAATTCAATGTAAGTATATCTGAATCGTTCCGAACTAATTACGAAACGGTTTTTGTGAGACTTTCAAAATCAGCATTGAAAAAAATTCCTGGAGAAATACAGGACTGGTCTATAATATTATCGAAATTTTGTCGTAGAAATTATATTTCTTCTAAAATAGTATTTACAAGCGTCTAATCAAGGAGAACTCCAGTTTAAATTTCATAATAATTCCCGAACTTCATCGAAAGAAAAGATGTGCCGACCTCGTTTCTCACAAGCGCTGAATAAAAGTAAAGTCTAGTATATAAGAGACTTCCCAGGTCCCTACAACCAGCGTGCGATTCAATGCGTCGTGTATTTGCGTTTATTTGTGTATAAATTATGTGTGCGTTAGAATATATGTAGGTAGCTATAAGTGTATTATGTATGTATGTATGTGTGTGTATCCTCCTCAACCAATCACAGTTCGCCTTGCTTGACGAATGTCGATCAAGTATATACGCGTATACACAACTTCTTTTTTTTATTTTCTTTGCTACGGAATTGTTCCGGAACTATTCTGTAGCCCTTATAAGAGCTTCTTCATATATGAAGCGACCCTCTGAATTTCTCCCGAACTCATCGGAAGTTCTACCGTCCAGACTATCTGAAATACTCAGCCGCTACATTTCGTAAAAACTATCACATAAATACCGAGTTCTTACCATACAATTCCTGAATATCTATTTTGAAAGTTCGACATTTCTTCCAAATAACAGCTCTATAATAATTACCGACTTTTGCTCATATCCTCAATTTCGGAACGAATTCAGGAACTATTTCCGAATTAGTTTTTTCCGTGTATGTCGCTAGTTATTAATTAATTTCAAAAAATAATTTTCAGAAAAGGCAGTTTTCTTTTTTTGGGACAGTTGTACATGAAATTAAAAGAAGCTTCTAAAAAAATTGATTCGGAGAGATTGTTAACTTCTTCTTATAGATATTAACGCTTAATATCCCTTTTTCGGCGAAAACTGAATGTTTAAACAACTATTTATAAAAATTATGCAAAATATGGAAAAGAGTATGGAAAGTTACCTCTCTATTATTTCCAAAAAATTCCAACCCAAAATATTAATTTTTTTAAAGTGAATTGATGTATTCTACGAAACCACAATTTTTTCCCGGATGGTCTTTAAGAAGGCAAAAAGTAAAAAGTTTTGCGCGTTGGTGATAAAAGAAAAGAACAATCACTTGGTGATAATAAGGCTTAACAAAATTTGTCAGTTTTAATAAAAAGTAGTAATCCAAAATTGATAATAAGGATAAGGTACTTCTTGGTATGATAATAAAAATTCTATTGTGCAATTTTATCGAGAAGATTTAGTAGATCTAATTAAAATAAATTGTAATAATTTTATTTAAAACTCAAGGCTAACTTTTCATTTTTCTTGAGAGAATATTGCAAATATAGATATATAGACTGTGTGGGGGAATAGATAAGCTGCTTTCTTGTTCATTACAGTTAGCGCGCGGTGGGAAAATCGATAGAACTCTTATCGATTCTTATATGTATGCGTAACACAGATGCTATTTTATCACTGAACATTATTTTTTCAGGATGTTACGGAAGAGAGAACGTTACTTCAGTTTCACTACACGGAATGGCACTCACATACGTGCCCTTTTGGAAATGCAGTTCTAGAATTTCGTCGTCGTGTTAGAGCCGTTGTTGGGTCTACAATAAAAAATGAAACCGGTCCCATGATTGTTCACTGCAAGTACGTTTTACACAAAGAATAATAATGTGCCCTTTGCTTTTGGTCTAAAAATATAATTAGAAATTATTCTGAGGAGTGGAATTGTTTAAATCATGATTCATTTAAGTTTTCATTTGAATCACACAGTACTAGAGCAATACTTGGCAACGTTGGATTTATACTTTAGTTTTAATTTCTTTAGATGTGATATTCCTTTAAAATTTCGAGCTTTTACTACACCTAACTTTTAAGAAGCAACGTAGCCAAGTGTTGTGCTGAATAACTTCTGATTGTCAAAATACTGTGTCTTTTTAAACAAAATAATTAATTTTGAGTCTCCTAGATAAGGTCTAATTATTTTGTTGCCCACATAGCACAGTTTTTTCCGGGAAGTTTCCCACGTTAAGTTCGGAAATTTGACTTGTTAAGTTCCTGGAAACTTCCAAGAAACTTGATATGTCTTAAGATTTAAAGTTTCCACTGTTAACTTCCAGGAAATTATCAATGGAATTTTCCTGGAAAAAGGACTAGAAATTTCCTGAAAAATTTAAGGAAGTTTTTTTGGAAGTTTCTCTAAAATTATTTCTGTTAATTTCACAATTGTTCAGTAAATGTTTTTAGAAAATTTACCCTAAAATAGAAACGAAAGTTTCTTGTATAATTTATTCGTTAATTTTACATTAATTATTATTTAAAATAATAATAAATATTTAATACTTATACAAAGTGGGGTTTTTTCATAAAAATAAAATTTAAAAAATTATTTAATTAACTTATTTATACTTTTCCCGCAGTTGTTTCTACTATTTTTGTTTTTGGAAACCTTATATTAAAAATATAATAATAATATATAATTGTTAGAATTTCATTTTTATGGAGATTAATAATTTTAAATAGTGCTTATTACTGATTGTTTTATACATATGAGAATAAATAAACAATAAGTAATACAAGCAGTTTTAATACGTGAAATTAAGATATATTAAATACAAGTTTTTCTTTACCATCATTATATCAATTACATTCAAAAATTTTGCTCACATCAATGATTTTCAATACACGGAAAAAATAAGTTTAGCAGATTTTACGAAACTAATTTCGCACTAGCGGATATTTAAGATTCCTTGACGAAGTTTTTCAAAAACCCAGAAACTTTCACTACTTTAAGCAGAACAATTTTCGAGAAACTGCAACCAGTGTTGTAATTTATAAAACAAGCTTGAATGTAGAAATGTTTCGTATTTTCTGGTGAACATTTTATCAAAAAATGGTAAAAATGTTTCGTGCAATCTAAAAACGCGTGGTTTGAGTTTCCACTTCGCTGTCTATCGTGAATTCTCGAACACAGAGTTTCGTAAAATTCTATACGGGGTGTACCAAAGGTCGCGTTATAAATAGATATGTTGAAGCTTGTCTGGTCGCGTCGGTATTAACTTGTCTGCTGTATATAGAGATAATATGTGGAAGGAAAAAGAGAACTGCTTTACCTGCTGGTAACATTTGGATAATTGTTTTTTTTTACGTATTTCATATTTCATTGTTCCAAATTCGTAACATTTTTTATGTGATTTTGTAATCCAAACTTTTAATTATTATTAATTTCTTTTAATTTACATTCCAATAAATTTTATAGTTTATCATAATATTTACCGATGACAATAAATGTACATATATATTAATTTCTCAAAATTTTAATTAATTCTAATTTTTATTAGTTTTAACTGTTATTACTTCAAATTTTAGACAATTTAATATTAAAATTTTTTGAGTTTGAATTTAATTTTGAAAATTTTTTTGCAATTTATTTATAATTTAAAATTAAGAATAAAATTATTTTTTAAAAATTGAAAAATTTTATAGAGATTTTATAACCAATTATAATTAAAAAATGTTATTTTAAAAACTATAAAATATTTTGTATAACTTTTAAAAAAATGATTTTTTTTAAAATTAATATTCAGTATATTGACATTTCTCACAAGCGCAGTTTTAATCTCCTCAGTTAGTATATAAAGAAACTCAATTCTTTCATCTACAAGTGCGAGTTATATTGTATGTGCGTTGCGTCAGAATTCGTTTATATGTATGCGTATTTCCGTTAAGTTAGTGTCAGAATAAAATAAGCCAATCCAAGCAAACCATTGCGTTGTAGAGTGCAGTCACATGTGTCGAACCAATCATCTATCTCCTATAGAAGTCGAGAAAAAATGGTCTTGAGAGCTCATTGGTACATTAAGAAATTCTTTTTTCTGCTTTATTCGTTTTTTTCTCCGTGAATATTTTTTTCCGTGGCGCATGCGCTTCAGGCTAAACATTTTACAAAACTCTTGAATTAGAACGTCCAACCGATCATTTGTGAAGTCCATAGAATTTTTTTTGAGTTTTCGAGAAACGCAGTCATCATATATTACTATTGATTCTGTTTTATCTTATACTAAACTCCTCTCCGTATCCGCTATTCCAAAATTAGTTTCGTAAAATGTACTAAATTAATTTTTTCCGTGTATATCTACTATTTTAATAGACCTAAAAGAATTCAAATATTTAGTAAAAATTTGTATAAAATTGTACTCAAACATTTAATTATTTTCATAAATAATAAATATTTCACAGCAATTCAATTATTAACAAATTTTTTATAAATTTCTTTGCAATAATTCAATTAATTTCATAAATAATAAACTTTTTTTATAAATAAATTTTTTTTTTTTATTAATAAATTATTTTGTTTTAGGAATTAAATTATTTTCCTAAATTAAAACTAGTCGCAGAATTTTAATTATTTTTAGTTTAATTTTAATCGAATTCCTATGTAGAAAAATGTAATTATTCTTAAAAATTGGATTAAAATTCGTCAAAAGAATTCAATTATTTAAAAATTTGTTGATAAAATTCTTTATAAGAATTATTATTCAAAAAATTGTTTACTTCTGTATTTAAATATGTGAATAATTTTGAAAAGGTTTCAAATTGAAATATATGAAAATTTGAATTTTGTACACTTTTAACTGACAAGTTGAAGAATTAATTTTTTTGAAAAAATTTAATTTAAGTTTTTAAAAAAATAATTTGAAGTTGCATGGAAGTTTTTGAAATTCAATCAATATTAATATCAAAGGTACCGTAAAGTGTAAAAAATGAAAATTCAAAATTTTGAATTTTGAAAACTGCCATCTCATAGGAAATAAAAATGCGCATCTTTTTTTTCTTTGAAATTTCTTTGAATAATTAATATTTTTATATGATAATGGAAAAAATGTGATTAATTTTCATTGTCAAATTTCATTGAATTTTAAAATATAAATCGTCGTATCTCCGACAAAAATGAATGAATTCTTTTGATTTTTGGTATACAAATGCATTTGGACCTATACAAGACGACAATATCACGAAAATGTTAAAAGTAATTAATTGTTTATTGATTTTTAATTGTTAATACTGACCGGTCAAAAATAATTTTTTCTTATCTTTGGCTGCAAAAAGTATGCGGGGAACTTTAAAATTCAAACAACTTCCATTGAGACATTTGTTTATTACGATGTGAAGAAGTTTTCTGTAAAATTGCAGAAAGATTAGTTTTATATTTGTGGACGTCTACATGAAAAGGGCCCATATTGTCGGTTCTAGTTTTCGAGATAATCTCAATTAAGTAATTTTAGAGCAAAATCTTAATTTTTTTTTATTTTTTATTATCAATCTACATGTTTTGACAAGTCGAATCATGCGGTTTTCATTAATTTATCGATAATTTAACTGTATGATTTCATTGGTTCTTTAGAAAAATGAAAAGGGCCCATTTTGTCGGTCATTTGCAAAAGTAATCCGTATTTTAAAAATGGAGGTGTGGAAAAATTTAAAAACTGTTGATTTTTCATCTTTAAGGTGTCCTGGACTGTAAACAATTCTTATCTGAATAACTTCCCAGAAGAACCAGAGATATTGATGTTAGAGTCCTTGTTTTTGTAGTCATAGAAATGAAAAATTCGATATTTCGTGAAATTTTTCGTAATAGAGACTGTTAAAAAAATTTAAATAAGTTTAATATCTATTCTTTTTCTTCAAATGACACAATAAAATTGTACCTAATCATTAATCTTATAAAAAAATGGTTTTTTTATAGAAAAACTGTCCTTTTTAGAAAAGGGCCCATATTGTCGGTTTTTCGTATTTTCAAAATTAAGAGAGGGGGGATGGTTTTAAAAATTAAAAATCTATTGTTTTTTAATCTTTTAGGTACCCTGGACTGTAAATAATTCTTATCTGAATAACTTACCAGAAGAACCAGAGATATTAATGTTAAAGTCTTTTTTTCGTAATTGTCGAAATGAAAATTTGGATATTGCGTCAATTTTTTTATAATACAGACTGTCAAAAAATTTTAAATAAGTTTAATATCTATTCTTTTTCTTCAAATGACACAATAAAATTGTACCAAATCATTAATCTTGTAAAAAATTGTTTTTTAATAGAAAAAATGTCCTTTTTAGAAAAGGGCCCATATTGTCGGTTTTTCGTATTTTCAAAATTAAGAGGGGGGGGATGTTTTTAAAAATTTAAAACCTGTTGGTTTTTTATCTTCAAGGTGCCCTGAACTGGAAACAATTCTTATCTGAATAACTTCCAAGAAGAACCAGAGATACAACAATTAGTTGGTATCGCAATCTTTATTTCCGTTTTTCTCGAAATGTGGTTTTTGGCGTTCTAAACTTTGAAATTCCGTAACTCAGCAAATTTTTAACCAAAAAAGTTCTAAGACCACTCAAAATTTTCCAAATTTTGCCAGAAATACGCCCATATAGATAACTCCAATAGTGCCAAAATGGGCACTAACATTTAAACATTTAAACATTATACAATTTTTAAAACATTAAACATTTAAACATTATACAATTTTTAAAACGTTTTTAGATGTCAATGTTATTGTTTAAAAACCGGAAAAAATGTTTATTTTAAACAATTTTTGACAATTGTGATATTTTGAACTATTATATTTTAATAGATATTATTAGATTATACTAGAT